TGTCTTACGGACTTACGATATATTAATTCATTCGATCCTCCTAGTAGTCATAGAAAATAAGTTCTATCAGCCTCCCTTTACTGACTGAGGAAATGGGCACAAGAGATTGAAGTAGTTTGTGTGAAAGGCCACACAACTGATCCTAGCTCTGGAACTTGAATTTGAGCAGTGTTCCTCTGGAACCTGGCTCTTAGCTCTCATTCACTACCATGTCATCTGTCCTACTGAAGCCTGCTTAGAGAACTGTTCAGGGTCTTGCTGCTGCAGGAGAAACGCCCACCCTGTCACACTATTCGTTTGTTCTTTCAAACCAGGGACACATAGCTCCTGCTTTCCAAACCCCTCATTTCCTGAGGCACACGTGTGTTCCGCCTCTCTCCCCTTCTTTTCAGTTTGAGGATTCCCTAGACTATCCTATAGTACCTGCACATCTTTCTCTCTGCTTGTAGAACTCTTATTCTGCCTCTATTTCCCTTTCTAGGTCTGGAAAGTTTCATGAAACGGAAAAGTTCTCCCAGTGTCCTTCTCTTCATTGAGTTCTGTCAAGATGGAAACTACCTTTGTGTAATTGGTTCTATAGTGTCTAAAAGAGAAGGAGAACCCACCTTGTTGAATGAATGAATAATTTCAAACTGATTACATAGCAATGGTTATCACATTCTCAGTATGTGTAAATTACATGGATAATTATTGATTCTACCACATGTCCATCATAGAGACACATGTACTGTTAATTTTCATACAGTCTATTAGCGAGCTTTAGTAGGACTGATTTTCCTTTTTTTTTTTTCTTACTAGCTGTTAGGTAGTAAGAAACCTAACAGGAACACTCATCTTCTTTGAGGTTTTCAACATGTAAAATCTTTAACCTTGTCTATAAATATTTTAGATGAAATGTGTTTTCTAAAATGTGATTTAAGTCAGTGAGAGCCAGTAGCAGCTCACATCTTTAGTCTTGGTACTCAGGAAGCAGAGAAGGTAGATCTCTAAGAGTTCAAGGCCAGCTGAGGCTACATAGTGAGACCTTGTCTCAAAAAACAAAAACCAACCAAACAAAAGTACTGGAAATGGGGTGATCAAATGGCTAATGGCATTGGGTAAAGGCACTTGTCTCCAGGCCTAATGGATGTAAGATTTCTCCCTAGGACCCAGGAATCCTATAGGAAGGGAAAACCCAACTACTTCTGGTCCCCACACACTCACCATACTTAAACAAGTAAAATTGGCAGGGCAAGTAGTAGGGACAGTATATATTAGAGGGAATAAAGTAGGAAAACCTGCTAATATACTGTGCTATAAAATCAATAGAGGAAATTAATAAAAGGATAGGGTTCTGGTCATTGATCATATAATATGCTTCAGTAACCAGGTAGACAGCATTTTTTAGACGAATTCCTAACGCATGAAGATTATTATTTATATGTAGTCATTTGTAGTTCACAGAATTTTAAGAGATTTTCCTTGATACAAGGCATTAGAGGAATGGTTAGAAGCGATGCATACAGAAGTTATTCGTATATTGTGAAGAACTACAAATGATTTTATAACCCTGTGTCCTGAAAATATCTTAGTTGTTGTTGGTGTTGCACTGACCCCCACACCCTTGGCATCTACAGTTTTCCAGGTGTAGTGTCTCCTTCCCTCTAATGTCATTGGTTGAAGCAGTTTCTTCTATTGTATTTAACCGTTGCATGTGCTCACGGAGTGAGGAGATTTCAGCTCCTTAGAAGTAGAAGACTGCCTTCCATCTGGTGCATACAGTTATAAAAAATCCTAAATATCCAATGATGGAGAATAACTAATTTACCACTGTTCTAATTATCAGTCACAGTGTTAGTGACTAACTATGCAATAGTGTGTTAGTTTTCCTTCAGATATCTATTTTACACAAAGGGAATGAACAGTATGAATTTTAAATTAGTTTTTCACACCATACCTGTTACCCAAGTGTTAATCCATTCAAATATTGTGGAAAGAAAGCACATTTTGTGTGTGTCCACATAATAAGAGTGGAATATGTCTCATCTTTGCTTGCTGTGTTTAAGTTTCTACTTGTAAACCTCTGTCTTTTTCCATATTTCTACGGTTGACAGCAAAACACAAAATTATGACAGTGCTGTAGGCCATGTCTTTTGTGAAGCAGGACTAGGCTTAGATTTTTCCAGGACCTGTGGTGTCTGAACATGTCATCTGTAATTTGTATGTAATAAATAGCTTATAAAAACATCCCACTCCACAGTTTATAAAGAAATTCTTCAGAATGTGAGTATTTAATTGTTCAAGGCATTTTACCTGATTATCTGTCTGTCTGTCTGTCTGTCTGTCTGTCTATCTATCATCTGTCTGTCTATATGTTGTCATAGGTAGTTTTTATTTCTGTTTGTGTAAATAACAATGCAAATGTCATCAGTTAGTGTGTATTAAAATCCACTAGATTAAGCTTTTCTTTGAGGTCTGAAATCTACTTGTTAGAAAGTCTTTGTGTGCTTGGTGTGTGTGTTTGTGTGTATGTAACTATGGCTTGGTTTAAAATGGATAAACGTGTGTGTGTGTGTGTGTATTACTTTGACTTTGTTTACCCATGTTTGCAGTTGGTCGTTTAAGAAATAGAATCTTGATTCTTCAAATCAGGCTTCTATTTTGTGATAGTCATTTATAGCGTATGTATATGAAGAGAGAGTATAGTTTACGTGAACATGATAGAGTATGAAATTGGGACGGCTCCAGTAGAATGGGTGGGGTCCTTTTGAATTGCTGTGATATTGCCTGCTGTTACTGTAGACAGTGACTTGTGCCACATTGTTGTAAATCAGGAACCTAAAATGCAGTTGCCTTTTACTTGGGTGGAGAAGGAGTGTTGCTAGGGCCAAGTCTAGGGTGTGGACCTGGGCAGAAAGGGGATCTGAGAGTGCAGACTCACCACTGTTGTTATTCAGCACTGCTGAAAGATGACAGCACTGAGCCTGGTGGTCATGAATAGCTGTCATAAGAGATTTGCTGTGACTCATTTCTTATCTTAATCTACTAGCTCTCTGTCCCCAAGATACCATTTTAATAATAGTTTCCCCAAGGTCATTGACTGGAGAGACTTAGACCTTAGGATGTGATTTCTGTGACTCGTCCAATAGGGTTGACACTTCCCTTTCTCCTTCCTGTAGTGTTTTATTCTTTTCCTCTTAAGTCATTTTTCTAGGTACCCAGTTCAGTTATAAAATTGGTTTATGTTTGCATGTGAAAGCCTCACATCCATAGTCATTAATGAGTAGGAAATAAAAATATGAATACATAGAATACAGAATTCTGAAAAATCTACAAGTTCTGTTCAGTTTAAGGTACTCCCTTCATTGGTATCAAAGTAAAATTTTTCATTTTAAAAAGCTAATTAATTTTTTTACTTAAACTGTTTTTATGGAATATACTTAGTTGTGTTGTTCCCCTCCCCCAACTCTTCCTAGATTCTGCCCCCCTCCCTATCCACTCAATTTCATTTCATTGATTCTTTTTATTTGTTATTGTTTCTGTTTCACTGCTTTCAGCCTGTGTTTGATTTTTCCTTGCCCTCTACTCTTACAGTATTAATTTCTTGTTGTTGCTCTAGAGCTTTCAGGTATTTACTGAGTTTCTAATAGAAAGTCTTTTCAAGTTTTTGATGTAGGCTCTCAGTGCTGTGAGCTGGCCTCTCAGAACTGCCTTCACTGTGCCCCACTGGTGTGCCTATGCTGTGCTTTTGGTTTCATTCCATTATAAAAAGTTTTATGTTTCTTTCCTCACGTTTGTCTTGACCCATGTTTTTCACTCAGTACTGAGCCATTCAGTTTGTCTGCTTTCTGTGGTTCTAATGTCAATATCTATGTTTAACCAATGGTAATCAGATAGACTGCAGGGTATCAGTTTTATTTATTTATTTTTAATCTGTTGAGGTTTTCTTTGTGCCCTAATCTGTGGTTAGTTTTGGAAAAATTCCAAGGGCTGCTGAGAAGAAGGCAATATTCTTTAGTGTTTGGGTGGAATGTTCTATAAATATCTTCTATGTCCATTTGGTTTATTACATTACTTAAGTACAGCATTAGTTTTTGTCTCTTGGCCTGAGTAACAATATATGCCTGTCTATTGACAAGAGGGGGTTATTCAAGTCTCCCAGTATCACTGTTTTAGGATAACATCTCAAAAAGAGACCATAAGGATACTATAACTTCTTCTTTTCTGTTTATATCTCCTTGCTGTCTTTCCATTGTCTAGAGAACTAGGGAGACCCTGGGTCAACACTAAGAGGCTGAGTTCCTAGATAATGGGGAGGTGGGCTAGAAGGAAGCTCTGAGTCCCAGCCAAATGTGGTGCCTCTGGGATCCTTGATAGAGAGTGATTCTGGATCCTAGCCTTGGGTCTCTGGTAGAGAGATTCTCTGTGGGTTGGTGGGGAGTCTCAAAGCAGTGGAGATGGAGTAGAAGGAAAGGCTGACAGGGAAGGGCCACAGGGAAGAACTAGGGGAACCTGGCTGTTTCAAGAGGCCAAGCCCCTAAAGTGGGCTGGAGGAGGGACTCCTGAAGACAGGCTGCACAGGGACTAAAGTAAATCTGGAGAGACCTTAATGGAGGCCAGGAAGGAGGATAAAGTTTGTTTACCTGAGTCCTACCCTAGTGTGGAGGCTGTGAGTCTCGGGTAGAGAGCTGTTCTGTGGGTCGGAGGTGTTACAAAGGAAGGGAGATAGGCTAGAAGGAAAAGCTGAAAGGGACTGCAGCGAAGAACTGAGAAGAACCTGGGTCCTCACCAGGAGGCAGAGTCCCTGGAGAATGGAGGTGGTCTGAGTTCCTTCTTTCCTTCCTCACCGAATTCAGTAGTGTTTCATAGTAGATCCTCATGACTAAGTGAGCTCTGAGTCACATTAGTTACAATTGTGTAGTATTAAGAATGTTGACAATTTTTCTAGGAGTGTGTCTCTTTGTTAAGAATGAAGTTACACATTTTATTTACTTAAACCCATGTGCACTTCTTTTTAACAGTAACATATTTGGTGTGCGGCCGGTGGATTATACAGACAATGAGAATATAAGATCATTATTGCTGCTGCCGGAGAAGAATGAATCATTCTCAACTAGCCAGTGCTCTGTCGTAAGTGTGGAGTCCGCTTTGCTGCATTTGTATCTTTTATTGAACTTGGTTATAAAAGGAACAAAATAGGAAAACTTCCAGTTAGCAGATAGCTTTCATTCACCAGTTACTAAGCACTTCCGGAGTACTGACTACTATGGATTCAAAGACATAATCAGAATAAATCTATCAAGAAATACTTATTGAACCTTTTGCACTTTAGGCAGCATCCATACAACAGTGCATTTGACTAAAGCAACTATTTCAAAGAACTTGCTTGACACTAAGAGGTAGAGAAGAAATGACCAGAGAATATGTAAATTGATACATGCAATCATTTTAGAAGTGGGTACACAAGTGCTTTCAAGATGGCTTTGTAGTGTGTAGCTGGGGGAGATGCTAGGCTCCTGAAGGACACTGTGTTACTGAGGGCCTTTTAAGGAACAGTTTAAACTAAGACAAGTTATGAGAGGGAGGCATCCAAGTGGCCACATAAAGGACATTGTATAGAGATTCTCAAGTAGATAAAATGGTTATGCTTGAAGATTCTAGAGTTTGTTATCGCTGGAGACACTGAGAGTCTGAGAATGGAGACCATCGAAAGGTTTCAGTGCAGGAGCGACGGGGCTGAATTTTGTTCTCAGCATTTGCCCTGCTGACTTACTAAAGGGAGTTGGTGCAGAGTGTGAGGAGAGTGGAAGAAATAACACGTAGGATTCTACAAACATGACTGGAGCTAAGTGAATAGCAATGAAGGTCTGTAAGAAGCAGTGCAGTTCAGAGTGGTTTTGCCAGCTGTACTCACTCTTGGATTTTCTCTGAGTACAAAACAAGCAGAAGTATTCTCACTGGAGTCATAGGTTAGTTGGTGCCAATTCCTGGCATGGGGAGGGGGACCTTTCATCCTCTATTCCAGTAGTTGTATGTCTAGTGATGAAACTGTTAAATAGAAACTGGCTATGTGAGCCTGTGAATTAGATAAGAGGTACCAGCTAGAGACAGTGGAAGAAAGACCCAATCCTTGGGAACCCATAGCCAATTGGAAGACATAAATATAAAAAGGTCTGTTATAAATTGTAATATATAATGAGGGCAATGAAATGTGCAGAAGCTGTAACATGTGCAGTAGGAGCAAGCTCACTTCAGAAGCTGTCAGGAAGAACTTCACAGAAGGTGACAGTGTCTGAGGGAAAGAGCTAACAAATGCTGTTGTGGAAAATAACAGAAAGCTTCTAATGTTCACCATTGACTGTTACAAAGACCACCTCATCGGCGCTTCTGACTGCACCGAGAGCTCATGGTTTTCCTTTGCTTGCTGTCCTTGACTTAGTGTCTCTGTTGTTATGGATGTGTCCTTGTGCCTGTAGGATGGTTGCTATAATTCCAGATGTGACAGTGGCCAGCTAGAAGACATCAAAGCATTTTGTTGGAGCCTTTGCTAAGGTCTTTGTGTTTTATTGTTAGAACTGGCTACAGATTGGTTTTGAGGTTTCCAGGGATAAGAGATGGCATGGATCTTGTAGGGCAGCTTCGTAAATAAAACCTGACTTTTGTTAGTGTAGAAGATGAAAAGAATGGGTTTTGTGTAGAAAACCAGCATAGCTCATTGCTGCAGCTTCTCAGACGAATGGAGGCATAGAAAGCCCTTGGGAATGTGAAGAACTCAAGGTTTAGCATGTAAAGAGCAGAAAGACCGTTAAAGTAGTTTCAGGGTGGGAACATAGATTGGGATCAGCCCGTGAGAGGCCTTAACTTTTTAATACTTTATATTTAGACTTTAGATTTAATGGGGCATCATCAGTGTGTTTATACCTGGAACAAAACGGTCTGCAGGAGAGCTAGGAGTCAGAAGCAGCTCCGGGTGAGTGGAGGCAGCTGCAGTAATGTCTAGGATCCATGGGATCTGAAATGCTTGGTGACGGTAATGAGATGTGGGTGATGAGGATGGAGAGAAGAGATAGATGCAGTGAGCTCGCTTTATTTCATGTTTGTTCAAATGATATGAAGGACGTGGCACTATGACCAAGAGTTCTTATTGTCTTAACGGTGACACCTGGCTAAGGAAGCTAATGAATGATAAATCTGTGTAAGTGGAAACAGTAGGTCCTGTGCAGTTACTAAGAGGTAATGTCCGGGACGTGATACCCCCTAACCACTACCAGACTCCACTCACTCAGCCCAGGTTGCTTTGTTGGGCCTTGTCAGGCTAAGTGAAGCCATGACTGTAGTTCAGAGCCCTTCTCATCCAGAAAGGGCAGTGTAGTAGTGACTGATGCCATTGCTTAGCTACAGATTTAGCCTAAGCTTGTTATAATTTGCTGTGGTCACAGGTGCCATCATGGGTAGTCACCTTTATACCCCAGAACCTTTCTCTTTAGTTTTAGACTGCAGTCTGATAAATGTGTTCCAAATGATATAAGTTTGGGAAATGAAAAGGACCTAGAAGTCAGTACTTTAATTTCTTCCTTTTAAAAATGGGAAAATTGAGACCTAGAAAGGTCATGATTTGCCCAGATTATTAACCAGACATTAAAAAAAACTTTTTACTGGACTAGTTAGAACTCAGATTTCCTAAGTCTTGAGTGAGCTCTCATTCAGCTCTACCGTGCTTTACACACTGGTTCTTATTTTACTGACTTGTACTTGAGCTTCCTGCCGACATAGTATCTCTACGTTGTTATCATGGGCTCAAATGTATAAAAAGTAGATACCGCTTTTGTGGTATTCTTTGAGTCTGATTGTGGCAGTCACCTTCAAAAAGGGATTTTTGTTTTGAAATCTAAGAAATATACACTTTTTGTATGCCACGTGACATTGAGTTTATCACTGTGTCTTTTTGTTGTTTAGAGATAGGCCTTCACTATGTAGCTCAGGGTAGCCTAGAATTGGCAACCTGTCTGCTTCTGCCTCATAGGAGAAGAAGATGTAAAGCAGTGTGGCCAATTGTATTTGTTGTTTTAATGATTGATATGTGACTTGGGAACCAAATAGGTGATTAAGGCTGTGTAAGTGGAGATGGTAGATCATATGTATCTGTTAAGAGGTAAGGTCTGGGATGTGATACCCATAGCCACCATCAGACTGCACTTGCTCAGCCTGACTGGCTTACTAGGTCTTTACTCTATCAGATATGTTTCCTTTCAGGTCCTGTGCTTAAGCTGGTTTTTGTTTGTTTGTTTGTTTGTTTGTTTTTTAACCAAGAATAGATTTGAAGAGCTAGGGTTCCTATATTTTGCTTCCTTAACCGTTCAGACCTGATTGTATCTATTTATTTATACTGAAACTAGAATCTTATATTTACTGGATAAGCAGTTTACCCGTGAGCGACAGCCCCAGCTCCATGCCATTGTTTAAAAGCAGCAGCCTCCTGTTGCTGCTCACTGCGCACCCCCTTTGTTCCCTTTACCCTACAGCTGAGGAAACGCATCACACTCCTGCTCTAGTGTATGTCTCTCTGCCCTGTTAGAGTGTAAACCTTGTGGAGGCAGGGGCTTATTCACTGTAACAGGTCTTCACCCGGAGAGCCGCATGGCAAGTACTGAGTGCTCACTTACATGTGTGTAGATTCTGTGAGATGCATTCTCTGAGTGGGCTTTCAAGCCTGAGATTGGTGGGTGTTTTGTGTGCTGGTCCCACATCTTGTACAGTTCCTTGACAGTGGAGTCTAGAATAGACTTATCTTGCCCAACTGTGCTGAGGAACTTCGTCAGGGAATGTGTAGAGGGGTGGGGGCAATAAGTGGATGCAGTTTACAGTTTAATTCGTTTGTGTCTCATTCAGAACTGTGTTTCAAGTAAAACTTGGTGGCTCTGCTTTGAGGCTGCTCTTACTGAAAGCTTCTTGCCATGTCTCTAAGAGACTTCTCGGCCCACGGTCCCTTACAGCAACATGTTTATCTTTTCTAGTCTTTCCTGATTCTTTAAGATTTTTTTTATTGTCTTTGCTCCACTGTGTCCCTTTGCATCTCATGTGCTGTTCATTGCTGCTGTCTGTTTTTCTCCCTGAGTGTGAGTTTAGATGGTAAGCCATAGCATTAGTCTCCATAAGTCAGCTGTTCTTTCTTAGGAGCAACAGGGAGTCCCTCCTGTTTGTACATCCACTCTCTTCACTCCTCAGTTCTCTGGCCCAAGTTCACTGCTTTGTTTCAGGATTAAAAACTTATTTTCTTTCTTTAGAATTAGTACTGAATTTTCAAAATTATCTTAGCTTAAATTGAATAGACCAAGTTTGGGTTTAACTCTTTGGAGGAGGGATATGAAATTGGTCATTCTTAATGACTATTTTAGGTTACTGGGAACAGAATGAAATTATGAAGCCCTCTGTGGCTCTAGTTCAGCATCAGGGAAAACAGCTTGCTGTTTGGACAGCAATGTTATTTCAACTAACATTGACATGTCAGGAAAATAAAAAGAAAAATAGTTATTCAAGTGCATTGAGTATTAGGATTACAGGCGCTGACTCACTAGGAATTACTGGGGATTATTAACTGGAGTAAGGTAATTCATAAACTAGAATTCTTGTCAGGTGAGTGTGTGCCTTCTCTCTGTTCCTTACTTGTTTTTAACCATGGTGCCTATTCATTTTTCATTAACAGCTGAATGTTGGGCAGCGAAAGAATGGGCCACTGGTACTTATAGGCAGTGGGCTTTCTTCACAACAACAGAAAATGCTCAGCAAACTGGAGACAGTTCTTAAAGCTAAAAAGTGTGCTGAGTTTGACAGTACAGGTGAGGAGGGTTTTTTTTTTTTTGTATTTGTTTTGTTTTTGTTGTTTTTTGGGGGTAGAAAACAATTTTAAGTTAGTCCCTTTAAAGAATAACCTCTGATAATTTATTTATGTTTTAAGCATTGGGTTGTGGTTATATGTTTTGCATCTTGTAATATGTTTCTATATTTATAGTTTTAATATGCTTAAGAAATGTAAACTGTTTATTTGTTGTTGTGATACTGGGGAAGAAGGCCAGGCTGTTCACGTGCTAATAGGCAGGTGCTCTTCTGCTCAACTCCATCCTCAACAGGAACTGTAAAGTGAAGCCCTGTGTGTATTTTAGGATAGAGCACTGTCAGAAGAACAGATTTTTTTGAGTTTGTTATTAATAAATTATAATACAGTATAATACCATAATCATTTGAAAGTAGCTGAAAATTTTGCATTTGTTAATAATACCATTTTATGATGTGTTTTATGGTCTTATTTTTCATGTTGATGGCCAGGTTAAAAAGTACTGAATAAAAGAAATATTATACTAAATGTAAAAGTTGCTTTTGGAGAAATGCACTTAAGTGTCAGTTAATTAAATAGACTAAACTGGCGACAAGAAGTAGACAATTATTTTCTTTCTGTTTTCCTTCCTGCTTTGTTTGTATCTTAGTAACTCATGTCATCGTTCCTGATGAGGACGTTCAGAGTACTCTCAAATGTATGCTTGGGATTCTCAGTGGATGCTGGATCCTGAAGTTTGACTGTAAGTACTGGATTTAGGAGGATTGCTAGACGACTCAGTGTATCCTGTCCTTTGAGATAGTCACCATTTTGAAAAAGATTCACATATCATTGGTGCCATTCAGATTTTTTTTTAATCAATGTGCATAAATATACTCTGATTTTAAAGTAGCTTTATTCAACAATAACAAGCATATTAATAAAGAATAAATATAGTTTGATGTTAACTTTGAAGTCTAAATAGTCCATACTAATGTTAAATGGTTCTTTTGACAAACTATACTCATGTTTTAAATCCATTGCTTGGTGTATCTGTGAAGTGAAATTATTGTTTTCCATTTAAGATTTCTACAGTATTATCCATATAATATCTTTTAATCTTGTGGCTGACTAGTCATCTTAGGTAGCTGTTGGGGGATTGACTGTTTGACTCTACCTGATCTGGGTGATTTCCAGCAGCCATTACCTAAGCCTCCACTCACTGTATCATCCCTGTTTCTCACTGTTGGCAGTCAAATGCCATCATCACCCTCAGTTGTCACCCTCAGAGCTGCTGTTTATCTCACATACTGTAGCCGGATGTATTTCATAACCTTGTATCATTTAGGATTAAAAAAAAGAAAACATATTCCTAATTATTATCTTTGTTTATTTTTGAGATTGAATTTCAGTTACAACATTTCTCCTCTCCCTTTTCTCCCTCCAAACTCTTTCATTTCTCCCTCCCTATTGCTCTTTGTTTTCTGTTCCTTGGTACCTGAAAGTATCTACTTTTTAGTATGCTAGCTAAAATATGATGGCAGACGCACCAGCTCTTATTAAGTACTTCTTTAGGAAGCTAAGTGGTTGCAAAGGACTGACAGGGAGTCTTATGATCTGGAATCAGGAGTCTTGCTATTCCTTATGTCAGGAATGATTGAAGGCCAACATTTCCCAGGCCTGCCACACACTGCTGTGCACATGGAGCTGCTCTGTATTGTGATAGTCTGCTGCTTGTGCTAGAACTAGATGCTAACACTGGATGGACAAGTGCAGTCTCCTGTAATGGTAATTATACCAAGGCAGAAGAATAGGGATATTGTTTTTAAGAAGTACATCATTTATTAAAATTCACTAAACATATTGGCTTTGTGCTTTGAAGGCCTTCTGGTAGAGTGATTATCAAGAAGTTAAGTTTGAAGTTGATTTGATCCAGAGAGTAGTTTGATATCAGCTATTAAAACTGGCTTTCACTTTCTCCTTGAGTATTCTTAAGTGTGGTTTCTTGTGATGAGGGCCATGCTCTTTTCTACTTATTCTCTTTAAATAGTCAATAGCCTGTAAAGTAGTTTCCTCCCAGTCAAAACCAGTTTGAGGAGTATAATTATGTGAATTGACAATATATGTCTGTTTTGAACTTTATTTTACCTTTCCTGTCTATAGTAAGTCTGTCTGAGTCTCAGTATTTAAATCACCAAATGTCTCCAAGATTGTGCATTCTTTTGTACCATACCTGGGCCCGATCCATTGCCAATGGCAAGAAATGGTCAATTTTCACAATAACAAGATCTTATCAATAAAGAAACCATGTGGAATTTTGAGTAATCTGATGCTTCTGAACTTTGAGTTTGTTTCTTAAGAATTTGGTGAACTGGCATTTGATTATATGTACAGGAAATCCATTTCCATAAAACCTACTTTCTGTAGGAAATGTGAGTTTTGTCACTTGAATGGCTTAGCCATGTCATTTTTATAGAATCACTGATGGAGTGAGGCTGAGTTAATAGTGTGCTATTTGATGATTCTCACAGTAGTGAATAACATCCTCTAATACCAATGGTTCTTTTAGGATAAAAGATGGATAACATCTCTTATTGAAGTTCATATGTTCATGTTTTTTTAATATAGAGCTCAAAGAGAAATAAATTCACAGTTTGAGACAAGTATTTAAGTATTCACTAGGTCACTGGGTTTATAAAAATAAGTCATATGCTCTCAAAGTCTTTCTGTGCTAACAGAATACCTCAGTCTATTTTCTGTGTCAAGCACCTCAATGTTTTTGGAAAACATTTCAGAGAAATTCAGAATTGTCTAGAAATCATATATGTTAGAGAAAAATGATGGGGATTACTGCTTTCTGAATTAATTATAAAGATGCATGACTTATTAAATATTTGTTTGGTTCTAGGAATTAGTTTCTTGGGAGATAAAATTTATTAATTGGAAAAACTACTTATAACTTTTTTTGTGGTATTTTCCATAAACCAAATGAATTGAAGAGGAATTTTTATCACATGTATACATGCCTGTGTGTTTGAAAGTCAGAGCTTGACGTCACGCATCTTAGCCTCGCATCTTAATTTGTGAGACAGTGTCCTGGAGTCTCAGTGAGCCAGGCACTCAGAGATGAGCTGGACTGACTCCCCTCCCTCTGGAGATCCGCCTGTGTCTATCTATTTTCACTTGCTTGAGCTAGGGTTATTCTAGACTTCTGTCCATGAATTGTTAATGAACTGAACGAGGAAGAGTGGGGAGGATACCCTTTAGTATTGGTTTCTGATTGGCTGGTTGATTTGAGTTATGGACTCTAAAAGGCAGCCACTAAGTAACCTCATGATCAGCTTAACAGTCAGTCTTTTCTGTTAGTTTCTTTTTTAAATGGACTTTTGAAAGTGCTGTAGAGTTGTAAAGATTGATGTAATTTCTTTTGCCCAATAAGCCTTGCCAACTAATAAAATGTAAATAGATACTAAAATATTTCTGTAGTGTAAGACTGATTAGGAAAGTGTGCATCCTGAAGTTTCATCAGGTAGGGCTCAGTGGCACAGGTTTGTGCTTTTTTTCAGCATTTGGAAAGCCTGAGGCAAGATGAACAGGAGTTCAGAGCTCTCCTTGGTTACCCAGTGGGTTCCCAGCAAGCTGTTCTACATAGACCTCTCAAAAACAAGTTAGCAACTAACAGAAAAGAGGTCTTCCATCAAAGATTCGCTAAGAATAAAGAAAATTATTTTATCAAATAACCCCATTTTTTGATAACTTGAAGTGAGTAATACAAGTAATATAAGTAATATAATATTTTATGATATACTTATAAGTAATATAAGGTGGAAAGGTGTCTGTCTTATGGTAGGTGGAGGTAGGGAATGACCTGCACAGGAATGAAACACTGTGTCTTTTCTCATGGCAACTGTCAGTATGTGAGTGTACACAGAATACATACATGGTGGGGGCTACCAAAGAGGGTGCTTTTCTTTTTTGAAATGGGCTTCCTGTATAGTCCAGGCTGGCATCAAACCCTGGTCCTCCTGCCTGCGCATGGAGTATAAATGCTGGGATTACAGTCAGGGTGCCCATATTGTAATTAATTTCTAACAGTTTTCAGAAGAATATGTGCCTATTGTATGAAATCCACATCCACTAGGAATGAATTCATACTTTTACATTTTTTAATAGCAATTAAAATACAGACTTTTTTGTATTTTTCAAAGATTAGTTGGATAGTTCAGTGCTTTGATCTTAAAAAGACAAATTAAAACCTGCATTTGTAATTGTTTCCCAACTAATATAATTGTTTGTATTGTAAATATAGAAAATTACATAAACGTATTTTGTTAAAAAGATATTTGACTGAAAATCACTGAAAATAAGTTTTCTAATTATCAGGAGAATCTTTGGGTATTAGACAATTTTTTCTTTAAACATCAGACAGTTTTAATGTTATTATTCATTGTATAGGTGTCAGTACTGATACCCGTTTTGTTTAAATTTTTTTATGATATACTAATATATTTCATGATGGGATTTGTTTGCTTTTTTGTATATGTTAGGTAAAATAAATTCAGCATGTTATCTCAAGAAGTGTGTGCGTGTGTGTGTGTATGTGTGTATGCATATTTATAACTAGATCATTAACTTGAACTATAGGAAAAAAGTAAGTGAATACTAAAATAGTATTTTTGACAATCTAAAGTCCTATGACAGTATTTTTTGTGATATTCCAAAGTGGATGTTGATGACATATGTTTTGGTTAGTTTTTGTCTCTAGACAAGCTAGAGCCATCATGTGGCTTCTGTATTGCAGCAACAGAGAAACCCATCTTGGACAGCATGAACGGTTTTCTTTTTTCCTCTGAGCCTTCTTCATTTCATCATCGCTTCGCTCTTGGTATTCCACACCGTGAGCTCACGCCTCTGTCAATTGTCACCTGGCCCTAGAGAAACTGGGATAATGCACTTTGTTATTTTCCATTTTGTCTTTGGGTAGAATGGCTTTTCCTGTGTGACTGAAAACTAATATAGAAGCCGTTTCAAGGAAAGATTCCTTTGGTTTTACAGCCTTGAGTGTTGATTTTTAACTGAATCAGTCAGAAACTCCATGGATGTTTATTTATTGTCATTCCGCGTGACATAAAGTCCTACTTATTTTCTAATGCCATATTTATTCAGATTCTTGGCTTTGAGGTGGAGTGACGCTTATATATTTTAAGTTTTTCAAAGGAAATTTGTTGACTTCGAGCAATATTTACTTCCATGTTCTTTCAGTTAGGAAGAGCCAGAAGCCCCAGAAAGATAACAGTTTGTTAAAATCTGCACCTCTGTGTTGCTCTAGCTTTTGAAGAGAATGAAGACATGATGTTTTTCTGTTTGTATGTTTGGTTTTGCTTTCCCTGTAAGACAGACTTTCTCTTTCTGTGGACACTCAGCAAATTTATACCTTTAGCTCTGTTTGTGTTTTTTCTTTAATAATTTTGTGTAGCAATTCAGGGACACTTCCTTTTACTCTATTTATTTCTTAATCCTTTTCTCTCAAACTTTAGAAAAATGATTCAGCTCAGTATAAGTTGATGATCATCACTGGTTCATGCATCTATAATGAAGATACATTTATAAGTTATGTTTTTATGAGCTAGAGACAGGAATACAGACTAACAGTTTAGAATAAAGGAATACTTTTCTTCATAGTATAACTTTCTTTTTAAAAAAAAATACTGATACAGCCCTGACGGTTATAAGCTGCCTGACTATGCAAAGATCCTTGGTCTT